TGTGCGCGCATGTGCGTGTGCGTGCGTGCATGCCAGTCCTGGGACTTGAACTGTGGGCCTGAGAGCTGTCGCTGAGCTTCTTTGACTCAAGGCTAGCACTCCACTAGAGATACAGTACCACTTAGGGCTTTTTCTGGAGATTAGAGTCTCATGGATTTTCCTGCCCTGGCTGGCTTTGAGCCATAATCCTCAGATTTCAGCTTCCTGATTAGCTAGAATTACAAGCCTGAGCCACCAGCCATGGGTTAGTTCTGATCAGTTTTTTGTATGTGCTGGACTGGAGTTTAAACTCAGAGCCTAGGCACTGTCCCTGAACATCTTTTTCTCAAGGACAGACCCTACCACTTGAGCCACACCTCTACATCTGGCTTTTTCAAGAGTCTAGGACTTTCCTGCCCTGGCTGGCTTGAATCCTCAGATTTCAACCTCCTGAGTAACTAAGATTACAGACATGAGCTGCCAGTGCCTGGCTTGATTTATATTCTTTTTTGTTGTTGTTGTTAGTCGTGGTCTTGAACTCAGGACCTAGGCACTGAACTTTTTTGCTCTACCACTTTGAGTCCCAGTACCACTTCTGGTTTTCTTTTCTTTTTTTGGGGTCAGTCATGGGGCTTGAACTCTGGGCCTGTGTGCTGTCTCTCATCTCTTCAGCTCAAGGTGCCACTTCTGGTTTTTCTCAGTGGTTTATTGGAGATAAGAGTTTCACGGACTTTCCTGCCTAGGCTGGCTCTGAACGGAGATCCTCAGATCTCAGCCTCCTAAGTAGCTAGGATTACAGGCATGAGCCACTAGTGCCCAGCCCACTTCTGGTTTTCTAGTAGTTAATTGGAGATAAAAGTCTCAAAGACTTTCCTGCCCAGGCTGGTTTTGAATCTCAATTCTCAGATCTCTACCTCCTCAGTAGCTAAGATGACAGGCGTGAGCCACCAGTGCCTGACTAATTTTTAATATTCTTGATATGAGGGGCTGGGAAGGTGGCTCAGTGGTAAAGTGCTTGCCTTGCTTGCTTGAGGCCCTGGGTTCGATTCCTCAGCATCCATAAGCAAAAAAAAAAAAGCCGGAAGTGGTGCTGTGGCTCAAGTGGTAGAGCGCTAGCCTTGAGCTGAAGAGCTGAGGGGCAGCTCCCAGGCTCAGAGTTCAGGCCCACGACCGGACCCAAAATAAAACAAAACAAATATTCTTGATATGAATTTTTAATTAGTCTTTGATGGGGATATATATATTAATAATACTTGCAGTATTTGAGTATAGATAAAACAATGTAATTCTTTTCATAAGGCAGATATTTTTATGCTGGTAAAAAATTGTATAGCATGTTCATTTTTAGCAGTTAACCTAGTATCTGTTGTAGATTAAAATACTGAGGACTAGGGGCTGGGAAGGTGGCTCAGTGGTAGAGCGCTTGCCTTGCATGCCTGAGGCCCTGGGTTCGATTCCTCAGCAACACATAAGCAAAAAGAAAAAA